TATTTTAATTAAATAAAAGTCGATCCTACGAGGAACAATTTCAATGGAAATTCCAAGTCATATGCTTATTAAGTATATTGACAAAAAATTGGTTTTTCATAAATATGTGGGTTGAAAATAAATGGCAAAAAACTATTAAGTATTTTTAGAAAAGATGAAATATAAGAACTTAGGATTGAATTAATTCCTTTTCCCTCCTTTATATAATGGCTAGGTCAAATTAACAACATCAATTAACCTATCAATGTTGATGTCACCTACTTAAATCATTCACATTGATTCCTCAAACATGAAATACATATGAAAATCTTGTAAACATAGATTCCTCGTACATTTAATAGATTTTCCAGCATTAGGTTTAGGGTGTTAAACACTTAATACATCCATTACCATTCATAACAATCAATGTAACAAATATTCTTAATCTAATCAAGGGTTTCACGATATATTTTCTAATATATATGAACATCCAGGATAAAAGCATTAAAAGGCACAGAGGATAAGAATAACAACATCAAGAACATAGATTAATATCTCAATATATCACCAAGATATAAAAGAGTTCAAAGGAAGTGCATTCAATCCTAAGATAATGAAGTTAGCCACTCATAATGACCATTAGAATGATCCAAATGAAGAAGAATTGAAGTTTGGACGAAAACTGGAGCAGTTGTCGTGCCTTTCCTCTCAAAACCTCCAATTATTCTTTCTCAAAATGCATCTTATCTTTTATAGAAAAATTTGGGCCACGAGTCATTCGCTCAAGCGGAACATTCGCTCAAGCGAGAAATGTTGGCTTGAGCGGTTGAATTCCCGAGAGCTTTAACGTATTTTTGCTCAAGCGAGCATCCGTCTCACTTGGGCGAATCTCAGGTTGAAAATCTTCTTCCTTCTTTCAATTTTTCTTTAATTATCTTGAGAATTATAGTTCTTGCTCTTATACCAAGGTATTTTGCAAATTCATCCTACATTAGCAGCAAAATAGATTAGAATCAATATAATTTAAGTGGTTAAATAACAATTAAAAGCATAATTACATCAACTTTTACCACTTAACAATCATAGGCTTGAAAGATCTCTAAATTTTCACCATTAGAACACATATCTTAGTAGATCAATAGGACTTTTACTTGGCTTGTAATGGGGCTAGGGTTCAAGGTAAGTTATTTTAAGAAAGTGGGTTAAGACTTTAGGAAAAATAAAGAATATGGATCAATATACCTTGAAATTGTTTCAGTTGTATCTTTATGTTTTGTCACCTTTATGTTAAAATGACTTTCAAACTCTTTTATTGCTTTGACACAAACAATTTTTTTTTCCTTTTTTTTTCTTGATACTTTGACACTTCTTCTTTTTCTGGAATTGTTGGCGGTGAGTAGAATTGGATTTTTGTGATGATTCTATGCTCCTTACTTCCCTTTAAGCCTGAATGTGGGTAGTTTTTGGGTTGGAAAAACATTAATTCTGAGGTTTAAATCCAAGAAAAGGCTAAGGCTCAAAGGTGGTTCAAAGAATAATTTGAGGTAAGGTAGACTATTTAGCTAAGTAGCTAAGACAAAGAAGACCTAAATCATTTTTACTAGTGTATTTGTTGGTCTAGTGTCACAGATAAATCAATCAAGTTCTGGAAGGTTCCCACGTCATAAGTGGTGCACACAAGAAGGAATAAGGCTCAAAACTCACCTAGGTGTTTTGCTCATCTTGAAATTAATCTAAACCAATGTTAATGTAACTTGACAATGACTTTCTTTGTAAATCAAACCTTTTAACCTTTTAACTCTTCCTCCTTATCATATCGGTCATCTTTTCCAAAGTATTCTCCGATCAATCTATAATATTACACAATAGTTAAAACAAAAATATATATGAATGAAACATCATGCATCAAATGCAAATACTCTCCACTTTTGAGATCAACATTATCCTCAATGTGGAGAATTTATGTTATGCAAATACAAATGCAAATGAAAACAAGTTAAAACAACTTGGGTCTCATGTCTATCTCCTCAAATGGTACAGGTATCGAGGTCATCAAGTAACAACTCAATTCAGCTAAGATAAACAAAGTGTTCTTCTGTAGTAAGTTGGAAAAAGGCAATGTCACCTTGTTGAAGTCTCAAATGATTCTCTGGTAAAAATCTGTGAATCTCTCAACCATTTGATTTATGAATGGAAGGGAAAAGTGATCATTTCGCACAACAATTATCCCACTATTTTTTTGGAACAACTTCGACAGGAGATACCCAAGTGTTGTCTAAGATGTGACATATGACGTCAACCTTCAATAGCTTGGTCACCTCCTTTTTCACCTCATCAAGGATAGTATGATTCATCCTTCATTGGGGTTGTCTCATAGGTCTGCAATCATCTTCCAGCAAGATTTTGTGTATACAAATAGTAGGGTTGATCTTAGTGAGGATATCTAAGGACCAATCGAATGTTTTTTTTCTCTTTTTCAACACCTTCAACAACCTTCCTTCTTGATCGGGAAGGAGATCACTAGATATGATTACAGGTAGCTTTTTAGATTCCTCCAAGTAAGCACACTTCGAATAAGATAGGAGTGGTTTCAGATCTAACTCCTTAGGTTGTTGTTGAGTACTTGCTTCACTTGCTTTAATAATTATCTGTGCTCCTACAAAAAAGTCAATACTATCACTGATCTCCTTACAGATGGTGCAACTTCCATCCGAACATTCACATCTAAACAACACCTCTTGACTTAAATTTAAAGATTCTAAGGGCTGATCAAGGTTAGAATCAACTCCTAGATCCAACTCTTCTTCCTCTCGGCCTTCAACTGAATAAGCATTCATTAAGAATAACTCTCTCTCACTAAGCAAAGATGTGTCAGGGTTCTTATGCTCTATTTGAACTTTTCGGGTAATTCTTAGGGTGATTGCACTTACATTCTCATTAGGATTGATAACTGTTTATGAGAGTAGTCATTCAAACTTTGTTGTTGTAATGTGTTAATGGTAGTGACCAATTGCCCAATTTGGGTTTGCATTTCATTGAAGGTGGTCATCATGAACTGCTCTAATTGTGTGCTTCGTGTGTTATGCGTTATCATCTATTGTGTGAGTTGCTTCATCAATTCTTCTAGTGTAAATCCAAATTTATCCTATTACGTAGTACCACTTAGGCTTTGTTGTATTAGGACAAGGTGTGGATTCGCCTATTGTCTCAGTGGGGAGGTTGATACTTCTGTTGTGTGGGGTAGTGGCCTTGGTTACTTGACTGGAAATAAATCTTTGGTGGTTGGTTAAAGATAGGACCAAAATTCAAGTTTGGATGGTCTCTCTAGCCAAAATTATATGTGACCAAGTGCACCTTGTACTCCTATTTGTAGATTATATGAATTTAATTACTCATAATATTGTTGTTTAGGGAATATCCTGCCCACTGTTTTCCTAATTAAGCTTGGTGTCTCCTTAAGTTAGGGACATACATCAGTGGAATGATCTATGGAGGTGCATATCCCACATAAATATTATTGCTGTTGAAATGTGTGTTGGTTCATGGCCAATTGTCGTACCAAAAATGTCAACTCCTCCAATGTTCTTTCAAAGTTCATGGCCTCAAGATCACTTGTTTGCTGGAATGACAATGATAGACAGTGAACAAATACACAAGGTAAGTTTCTAAGAAAGAGAGGTGAGTCACTAATGGATACGCTTAAGTACTAAGTCTTTCCTAGCCAGAACTCTCGTTGACATATACTCTCATACTACCAAGCTATATCTAGAGTTTCCTACGATAATGATTTTCAAGAATTTTCTTACAATGATGTTTATCTAGAATTTCCTACGAGAAGGGTTAGGGAACACACACAAACAAAATAATTTTTATTTTTATTTTTTAGTTTACTTTTTTAAATTTTTTTTTTAAGTAAAGTTAGAAAGAAAAAAAAATGATATTAGATAATGTTACACAATACAATTGTGTCCCCAACAACGACACAATTTGGCGACAATATTTTGGTCGTACAAAATACTAATAAAAAAATAATAAACAAGTTGATAAACTAATGTAGTATAGTTAATCCGTGTCGAATATCACAAGAACACAATAATAGGAACATAGTCATTACCATATATCATTTTTGCTAAAAATAGTAAATAACAATAAAGAGGGGGGTGATGAAAGGGTGAAAAGGAAACAAATTGATGTAAAATAATAAAATTTAAATTAAATTATGAAGAATAATAATGATGATTAAAAATAAATTGAAGCAAAATTTAAATAACTGAAATTTATAAAATTAAAATGAAGTTTTTTTAATTAAATACGAAAGTTGCCAAAATAAAGTGCGAATAAAAATCACTTTAAAATAAAAAAGTGCAGTAATTAAATTTAATTTTTTTAAAAGAAATAACTTTAAAACTAAATTGAGAATTATAATTAAAATTGGAAAAGAGATGAATTAGAAATGAAAATTAAGCAATACGAGAATAAAATAAAAATTTTAAACAATTAAATAGAAGAAATTAAAACGAGAACGAAATGAATAAAGTAAATAGAACAATATAAACATGAAAAGTCAATAAAAATTACAAATTAAATAAAAGAGAACAAACCAGAAGTGCAATAGTAGTATATGGACTCGCCTAACTAAAAACTGAGAGCAGAAAAGGAAACAAGGACGGTGACGAGACAAAACAACAACTCATCCTAAAATAGGAGATTATGATTGTTATAAGACCTCTATTTATAGAGAATTGAACAAGAGAAATTCAGCATAAATTAATTATAATAAAATCAAATATTTTCCAAATAAAAAATTGCAAAATTGGATTGTTGTGAAGAGAAATTTGTAGGATTGAAAACATGTTAAATGCATGGTTTATGAAGAAAATAATTAGCTTAGAAATACTTTTAGATAAAGAAATAAAAAGTAAAATAATATACATCATTTGACGTGGAGGTCTAGTTTGCCACGAGTCTGCAGGATAAGGGCATGAAGGTTGGGCCCATCCAGTCCAAGGATTAAGGAAGAGATGTTGATATGGTGGGAAGACTTAATACCACGAGTACTATGGCAGCTGCTGTGGTGCACTATTTCTTCCAATACCTACACCCCCATCACTGCCACGTTCACCTTTGCCACTACGTATGTTGTTGTTTCTGTCTCGATTGATTTTCTTGCCACGATTGGTATTATGATGACCTTGGGAATTAGTGGTATTATTGTGATGTTGTTGTGGCTGTGAATTGGAGCATTCATCCACGGTTAAGAATGTAGAGGAACCAAATTCATGAGTTGCTGGCTCCTTAATTGTAGTCCTAACTTCAATCGAGAACATGTAGTAAAACATGACAAGTCATATGTGACAAAACTAACATATGCTTCGGTTAAGCCAACGAGCAAATGGAGCACACGTTAATATGAAACAGGAGCCCTAACATTGGATAATTGGTCAGCAAGATATTTGAGTTGGTTACAATATTCGAAGGTTGTGGAAAAATCTATTAAGTTCGTATTCGTGATTTGAGTTTTAAGATATACTACCCTAATGTTTTTGTTATCTTGAAATAAGTCAGTTACATGTTTGTCAAACTTTAACAGCCAAATCATCAACCACAAGGATTGATGTGAGAATATTATAAATTCATTCACTAGTGCAAAAAAGACTTTTTACGTCAGGTATTTTGGGTTTTTTACGTCACATTTAAGACTGACGTTAAAACGGGAAACGTAAATTTACGTCGGATCCTTAGCCTAACGTAAATTCACATCAGTTATCGAGACCCGATGTTAATTTACGTTGCATTTACACTAAACAGACGTAAAAAGTATCAAAAATTAAAAAAATTGGAGCAAATTTACGTCACGTATTGTTATATGCGACGTAAATTTGCTCCTTTTTTAAAAAAAATTAGGTTTATTTTGTCTTACAACCAAAACCTACAAATATATATTATAACCAAACAATCCAGAGGTTCAGGTTTCTTTAGCTATGTAATTAAAAAATATAATATTATATATAATTCAAACTACATAATAAAACAATATAATACAAACAATAACCTACAAACTAAAATCTATTACAAACTAAAAGCTAATACAAACTAAAAGTTAGTACAAACTAAGCTATCTAAACTACATAATACATACAATATAATATAAACAATAACTTAAAAAATTAAGTACTAGAATTGTTGAATGAAAAACCTTGTTCATTATTCTCTAATTTGTGTGATATCATATTCTGGCAATGGAGATGGATCTTGAAATACCTGAAACATTAATTTGACTCTTGTAAACATGCAACACACCTAAAGTTAAATAAACTTAACTAATGCTGAAAGCAATTATGGTATTCACTTATTATAATAAGTTTCTAACCTTAGGATAAATGAACTACAAAGTCTTTGTTCGGGTTTTCCACTTAGAACATTAGTTATAGACACGATTCTAAATGAAAAAAGTCATATATTATTCAATACCTTTTCCATTTTCACTAGCAAATTTCAAAAATTCATCAACTCCCTTTTCGTACTCTTCACTAATACGACGTGCATTCATCCAACTTCGATTCATATTATATTATAAAGTTTAGTCACTCCTAGAGATTCAAAATTTATATTTAAAAATAAATTAATATACAAACAACAAAGCACGTATATGGAGTGTGTAAACTGAAAATGCACTCAAACAAAATAATGACATTCCAATAACAATCTAGTTGAGACATTCATACAATGACGTGATTGAGATCGCGAAAAACAATCACGGATTCAATTTGAACATATATCAGGAGACATAGAACACTAACCTTGAGTAAACACGAAAACGATTTCAAACTCGAATCCAATCGGGGAGAAATGTCAAATTCGTAAAATGAGACACAATGTTGATGTTCTTCACTGCCAAAATGATCGAAAATGGTGTGAAAAGGTAGCTGTCGTCGTCGTTCTAAAAAACCATTGCGGCGCGAGATGCGGGAGTGGGTTTGGAAGAGAATAAAAAGAACTTTTTACGTCGCACACCCTAGCACGTGACGTAAAAAGCCTCTTTTACGTCGCATGAGGGGTGCGCGAAGTAAAAAGTGATACTTTTTACGTCACGCACCCCCATGTGACGTAAAAAGTGTCGCGCACCCCCATGTGACGTAAAAAGTGGTACTTTTTACGTCGCGTACCCCCCACGTGACATAAAAAGTATCACTTTTTACGTTGCGCACCCCCCACGTGACGTAAAAAGTATCACTTTTTATGTCGCGCACACCCCACGCGACTTAAAAAGCTCTCTTTTACGTCGCGCTGTACCAGGTGCGACGTAAAAGAGATTTTTAACGTCATCTCCTACAATATGCGACGTAAAAGTTTCACCTCTTATTTACAAAATTGCCACCGTGTTTTATTTACGTCAAATATTTTGACATGCGATGATAATTGGGTGACGTAAAATGTCATTTTTGCACTAGTGATTGAAGAACAACAACATTAAGGCGATTACATTGAAGGAGATCAACGGTCTTGACTATTTGATATGTTGTTCCATGAGAGGGATGATATGTTCAAACACATAATGAATTTTAACTTGAACCTTAACTAAAGTTGTCCATGAGTGGTATTTGCTGGTTTCCATGTTCAAAGTTATTAGAATGAAATATTTCACGTTAGTGACAATTAGAGAAAAGTGAAATTTGAAATTATCAACCATGGATGGATAACTATTAAAGAAAGAAAGAAAAAATTGTTCCAAAGAAGATGAATAGTGACAGGTAGGTTTTTCAGAAACAAAGAAAGGTAAATAACCTAATATGACACCATGTAAGAAATCATGGATGATTTACTTCTTTATTGATTAAGAATAATATATACAAAATACAAATTATAATTTAGACGACAACTTTAATTTAAACTAATATTTAAATAATTATTACTACAAAATATTCTTAAAATAATGACAATTTATTTTGCCTAATAATGTCTATCAAATCGTTCAATACTACTGAGAGAACAAACTAGATTAATTGTATGTTATAACTGGTTTTGTTTGATCAATTTTATGCATGTGCAGAGTTCGATGGGATTGGACGTATATGGCAACGAAAGAAGCAGCATAAGTTAGCAGGGCACCTGGCTGAGTTGTTAGTGCAGAAGGACTTTTCATGGCAGATTTCTTTTCACGAAAACTTTCAACCCGTCATTGTATTGCCTGTTCTTTCCTCCAGAGTAGAAAGAATAAAACACATTCACCACATGAAGGAGATGCACAAGACCAATAGTGAAATAACCCATACTAGAAGTTACAGACCTATAACCAATATTCCCCATTCTAGGAACTACACACCACTTCTCGCGGCAACTGGCTCTGGAATCGTGGAAATCGTTGAGAAAATCATCGACAAGTTTCCCGAGGCCATTCATCACGTTAGCCTGGACGGACACAACGTTCTGCACATGGCTGTGAAGTACCGTCAGCTGAAAATCTTTAACATGTTAAAGAAACATTCAGCATTCAAATCATTGCTATTCCGGATAAATGCAGAAGGTCGTACTCTCTTGCACCAAATTTCGGAACCGGAGTTTTACGTAGTTCCTGGTGTGGCATTCCAACTCCAAGACGAGTTGCGCTGGTTCGAAGTAAGATCCTACCATCATCACCCTTTACAATAAGAAATTTGTACTCAGCCTTACTCTATTATACCTGTCGATTTTCTCTTAGCATTTACTAAAGTTTTTAAAATTCAATTACATGCTGTGCACTGTGAGACCATGCAATACATACAATTGACAGTTGAGAGTACAAAATTAAAGTGGGAATTGAAAATCAGAATATAAATCTATTATTCGTTGAAAATGATATTATATTCGACTTGTGTCCCATGATCACTTTGAAAATATCTAATAATTATATAATCTTAATTACATAACAATGATTGATTGTACATATTCACTTTGATATATTAAACACTCCTTCAAACCTATTATTTTTTGTTTAGTTTCTTTCTATCATCACATATCTTAATAATATACTTGTACCTCTCACAGTATACTTGACTTCGGTGTTCACAATTTTTCCCTTCTAACCTTTTATGGATGCAATTGCAACAATCAATTAAAGAACTTTACTTCAATTAATTCGTTGTGTATATATGATTCTACAGAGAGTGAGAAACATTGTTCCATCACACTACCTGATGCACTGCGACAAAGACGGGCTAACAGCTGAGGATGTTTTGGAAATGGAGCATCGGGAGATGCACAAAGAAGCAAAAGGGTGGATAAAGGAAACGGCACAGTCATGCTCCACAGTGGCTGTCCTTGTGGCGACGGTGGTGTTTGCAGCGGCGTACACCATCCCAGGAGGCACCAATCAGAACAACGGCACGCCCATGTTTCTTGGTTCTCGCGTGTTTCTCTTCTTCACTGTGACGGATGTAGTGGCACTTGTGAGCTCACTGGCATCAGTGGTGATGTTTCTCTCCATCCTAACATCCCCTTTTGAGCTGTGGGATTTCAGAAGGTCTCTGCCTCGAAAACTGAGCTTAGGGTTTGCCTCTCTCTTCTTTTCGCTGGTGTGCACGATGCTGACATTCAGTGCAACAGTTTTGCTGACCAATCGGTTGGAGCATCACCAGAAATTGGTTTCGGTTGTGTTTTGCGGTGCTGTGTTCTTTCCTGTTGCCATCTTTTGGCGAATGCAATATCCTCTTTACAAGGTGGTTCAGCGTCTCGCTAAGCGCCTCTTCAAGGCCCTTAAACAAGCAGTCCCAGTTACGTTGATCAACTACTCCAGGAAAAGGGCTCAGTGTTGGGAATTTTAAGCTATTGATGAGAATTTTTATAATTTTGTCTAATTATATTTTTTATATATTAAGTGAGTTTATTTTTAATTCATGTAATATATTTATATATAAAGTAAAAATATTATAAAATATTAAATATCAATAATATTTTAATCATAATTGTCTAAATCAAAATAATAACTTAATATTGTTTTATCTTATCTTGTAAAAGATAATAAAATATCTTAATACCTAATTTAAATAAAAGATAATAAAATAATATTTTCAACTTTTCTTCTTACTTTAATATCTATTTATTCGAATTTGATATTCTTCCTTTTTGTTTGTATTTCTTGTTATCTTCTTTTCTTATACGGGATTGCATCTTCATTCATCTTCACTTTCTTCATTAAAGTATTTCTTCATTTATCAACTTTATCTCATTTGTTTATTTCAAACTTCATGGTAGTACTGTTGACTCTTTGATGAAAGTTGGAAATAGTTTCTTCATCTACATATTTATTTCCTTCTTTAACATCAAGTTCCTTCAAGAAATATTCTTCATGTTTTTTCTTTGACTTTTCGTTTGTAATCAACTCTTCTTTCATCAAATCTAAAGTTAAATTTTTTTTCTTTCACGTGAACTTTGAATACTTTGAATATTTGTAAGTTATTTGTATCTTTAATCACAAAGTTTGTATTCAAAAGAATTAATATCAGGAACATATAAAACATCAAAAATTAATTTGATACTCGAATGACTTTTAACTGCAAGTTTTCTTGTACCTTTCACATTCATTTGTTCTCCATTACCAATTCTCACTCTAGAAATATGTGATTTGTTGAGCTCTTTGAAAAGTTCTCGATTATGAGTCATGTGGTTTGTACAACTACTATCTATAAGCCAACATGTGGATTTGTTGATTGTAGAACATGTTGATACAAGAGAAGTATCCCTTTACTTCACCTTTATAACCTGAACGACTTCCTCTGATTGTGATTTGCATAATTTTTCTATATGTTTCAATTGACTATATTTTTGACATTTCACATCAGGGACACTTATTCGGTGTGTGATTATTTTCCTTCCAATAAGGAAGAACAAAAAAGACTCGTGATTTTGTACCTTTGTTGTTCTTGGCTTTGAGAGAACCTCAATCATGATATAGTAAAGAACATTCACCAACAACGTGATCTTCTTTCATCAAGTAAAACATATAATACTTCTGCTAAAGTAATATTAGACAAATCCTTTGTGTTTTCCACTCAAGTAATAGATGCTTCATATCTCTATGACACAGTTACCATAATTTTTTCAATTATTCTTGAATCAGAAAATTTTTTGCCTAACAATTTTATTTTATTAGGAATACCCAATAATTTGTTTGAGTATTCATTAATTATCTCATACTTTTACATCTTTTGTATCTCAAATTCCCTTATCAAATTTAGAACTTTCATACCTCGAATTTTCTCATCCCCTTCATGTTGATCTTTCAAATAATCTCAAAATTCTTTTGGTGATTTTAGCGTCATGATTTTGGTGATGATCATTTGTGAAATACGAGCAAACAAACATGATTTAACTTTTGTCTTCCTGATTTTTTTTTTCTCTGTGAATTTTCATTTGAACTATGGTGAGATTTTCAGGTAGCGGATCAACAATATAATCTTCTTCCACAGCTTCTCATACATTCAATCCTTCAAGATACAACCCATAAATCATAATTTTCGCCATAAAAAACTGGAATAATGACTTGTGAAATTTTCTTTTTCCTTCCATTGTATCGAACCAAAGCTCTGATGGCATTGTTGGGAATTTTAAGCTCTTAATACCACTGATGAGGATTGTTAGGGTTTTGTGTATGTATATTTTTGATATATCATGTGGGTATATATAGAGTAAAAATATTACAAAAGATCAAATATCAATAAATATCTCAATCATAATTACCTAAATCAAAATAATAACCTAATATCTTTTTACTTTTTCTCTTAAAAGATAATAAAATTTCTTTACCTAATTTAAATAAAAAATAATAAAATAATATTTTCAACACTCACTAGAGAAGAGAAATTTGGACTCCTTTGTATACAAAAAATGGAAATACTTTTCAAGAATAAAATCTAGAAGAATATATATATATATATATATATATATATATATATATATATATATCAAAAATGAATTTGAATCGATAAAACAAACACTACAAGAAAAATCGCTTTTAGCGACCGAAAAAATCGGTCGCTAATGGCCAAAATTCGATCAGCTATTACATTAGCGACCGAAATGGTTGGTCGTAAAGGGCAAGTCGCTAAGTTGTTAGCGATAGATTTATTTCGGTCGCTAAATAGCGGCCGATCCGGTGGTCGCTAAAGTGGTCGCTAAATAACCCTAAACCCTTATTCATTGGAGACCAAAATAGCGACCGAATTAAGTGGTCGCTAAATCGATCGCTAAATCAGTGGTAAAGTTTTAAAAAATAGCGACCAATATATTCGATCAGCTAATATATTAATATAATTATTTAAATAATAATTAAAATCGGTCGCTAAATAGCGATCGAAATGAAAATCGGTAGCTAAATAGCGATCGATTTAAATCGATCGCTAAATCAATGACAAAGGTAAAAAAATAGCGATCGATTTAAATCGGTCACTAAATCAATGAAAAATTTAAAAAAATAGCGATCGATTTAAATCGATCGCTAAATCAATAACAAATTTAATTATTTTTATTTATTTACATTTTTATTATATTTATTATTTATTTTCCCTACCTCTTAATTATATTATATTTTTGCTTATTTAAGTTTTTATTTATATTTATTTCTCCTATCTCTTAATTATATTATATTTTTTAGAAGTTTAACTTATTATTAGGTGATTTATTGTCATTGTCAGGATTCGAACCGGTACCTTAGAGTTGGAGAGTGAAACTCCAACCAGCGAGCTACTTAGGATCTTTTAATAATAACTTACAAATAAATTATATTTATATACAAATAAATGTATATCAGTATAAATATATAAATATAAAATCTATAAATAAAAATATATTTATATATTTTAATATATATTTAAATATTGATATATTTATATATTGATATATTTATATCTTTATATCTTTATATTTTTACATATATTTATATTTTTATATATTTATATCTTCATATTTTTACATATATTTATATCTTTTCATATTTATATATAAAGATATTAGTTTTCTATATAAATAATATTATAATATAGTATATTATACTATTAGTATAGTATACAAATAATATATTAGTATAGTATAGTATACAAATTATTAATTTTGTAATTTATATACAATGAAAATAATATAATGGTATATTAGTATAGGATAGTATATTTGTATTCTAATTTTTAATTAAATTAAAATTATGCTAATAATGTATATTAATATATGAGGGGATAATATTGATATATTTGTATATATATATATATATTATATATTTATATATATATATATATATTATATATATTTATATATTAATATATTTATATATTAATATATTTATATATTAATATTTTGATATATTTATATATTGATATATTGATATATTTATTTATATCCTTATACATTTATATCTTTATATATATTTATATATTTGAAAAAAAATATTAAATTTTAAAAATAATATTATATTTTTAAAAATAAATATTAGAAAAAGATTTAAAAATATATATAAATTATATTTACATGTACAAAATATTAAAGATATATGTTTATATCTTTACATATTTATATATATTTATATGTTTATATTTTTACATATATTTATATCTTTCCATATTTATATATTTATATATAAAGATATTAGTTTTGTATACAAATAATATTATAATATAGTATATTATACTATTAGTATAGTATACAAATAATATATTAGTATAGTATAGTATACAAATTATTAATTTTGTAATTTATATACAATGAAAATAATATAATGGTATATTAGTATAGTATATTTGTATTCTAATTTTAAATTAAACTAAAATTACGCTAAATGTATAATAATATATGAGAGGATAATAAATTTAATCCAATTACTTTTATAAAATCTATAAAATATTAAAAATGATATTATATTTTTAAAAACAAATATTAGAAAAAGGTTTAAAAACATGTATAAATTATATTTATATGTCCAAAATATTAAAGATATCCACATTTAAAACAATATTAAAAAATATTAATAATAAATTTAATTCTTTAAATTTAGTATTTAGAAACTAAAATTATAGTTTCTCTGTTTTTAAAAAATTAAAATAACTATTTAAAAATAAAAATCAAAACTAGTATTATCTTAAATTTATTAAAAGTGTAATTAAATCTCTATTTTCTTAATTTTATTTGTTTCAAACATCTCAATTCTACATTTTTGTAAATTCTATCATTATATTATCATCCTCATCTCCTCCCATGTTCTACTTTATCTTTACAATAGTCAATATTCTTAACTAATTTATATTTTTATTTATAATTTTTTAGTATATATTTAGAAATTAATCAATTCTAATCTATTCTTTGAAAAACTAATCAATTCTAATCAATAATTTATAAAACTAATCGATTATAATTAATTATTTGAAAAAATTATCAAATATGATCGATCATTTCAAAAATCTGATCGATCAGAGAAAAAAATCGCTCGGCGAGACTAGAGTCGCTCAAGCGAAATACAACTCGAGAATGCCAATTTTGTGCGAGGGCGTTTAGCTCGGCGATTTTATTTTAAGCTTGAGCGAATAAGACTTCTAATAGCGGTTAAAGCTTAACAGCTATCTAAAATATGATTAAGATAGCGGTTAACCCATAGCAGCTATCTAAAATACATTTTAGATAGCGGTTAACCCTAACAGCTATTATATCCTCTCAATTATGATCGATTATTTCAAGGTATGATCGATCAGAATCTTATTTCGCTCGAGCGAGAATCTGCGCTCAGCGAAATACAACTAGAGAATTCACAATCTTAAAATATTTTTTTGAATATTATGTTTTTAAA